TTTTTTAAATTGGTCGTTTAAGTTATTCATTTTCTATTTTTTGCATAAGAAGACACCCCCACCATTAGATATTTCTTCCCATTAAGATAAAAATTCAGAAACATGCAGAAGGAACTTAATACAAAGTGAAAGACTCAAAAGACAGACAGTAGGAAACTACTGATCTCTGCTTCAAATAAACTTTATAGAATTGAAATTATAGCAATTGTGGCACTACTAGTAAAGGATTTTAACTTTTTTCTATTCAAGATGTTATAACATTGAGTTGATGGAGATTTGGGGGGCTTATGTTAAACCAGAACCCTATAAGGAATTTGGAAGTCATTGGGTATTTATTTCATTTTTATATTGTTTATTTTCTTACCACTTCCTTCAGGGCTCTGGGCTGGGTTTCATTTTGTCCAGAAATTGTTTCCACGCCAGCAGTGGGTTTGCCTAGTGCACTGTGTCATGCAAAACAGACAAGGCTCCTAGGATTTGTGTTCCTCTTGGTTTGCTAGATTTTCAGCAGTATTAATGAGGGTAAGAGAACCATAGATTTCACATGGCCATAAATTCTAGCAAATACAATTTCCTTTTATTTATTTTTTTATTTACCTTTTCTCAAACTTTTTTTCTCGAACTTTTCCTGTACTTATTTTCTTACCAAATTTTTTATCAAATCTCTTTTTGGTATTTCTCTGTTCCTATTTTCCACCTTAATCTCTTCCCTGTCTCAGCCCTATTCTCACTGTCTGTCTCCCTAATGCAACCATATGCAGTGCTTGGTTTTACCATAACATCTTTGTCTCAATATATTAGCTAAATAAAACTGGTAAGGAAATTTCAGCCTCAGTTTCTCCTTTACATGTCACTGTCAGTTTCAATAGTCCAAATGATAAGTTAATCCTTATTTTCAGTTTCTTTTTCCACTACCCATTTTTCCTTTTCTGTAGTAAATTTTATCAAGCTAGTATTTATAGTAAACTATTCTATAGGTGATCCTTGTACAAATTCATCCCACCTCACCTTGACTTACTTCTTGGATTACACTGTTGGAAGTTAAAGTGTAGTTCTCCTCTGTTTTAAAAGCATAATTCTGTTAAGCCTCAACCAGAAATAAAATCAAATATTGGCTGCATTCAGTTGCTGAGACATCTAAAAATAAATGTTCCTTTTGCATGCAAGGAACTCAGCTAAATTTTTTAGAGGGAATCTTTGATATGAACACACGAATAAAGTGATAATTATTGCAATAGTTCAAATATATATCACTGAAAACTCATCACTTTTATTCAGTGTTAGCCTTTTAAAGTTTAGATTCCTTCTTTATTAGAGAATATGCATTGTATTAATTTATTATTATCTTTAAAAGTTCTATAACTCAATTCAATTTTCTGACTTTAGTTGCTAAAAATTTTTAAGAAAAAATATGATTCAGAATTTAAACTTTTTATCACATTTACTTTTTTCCTCCCAACTTTATGGAGGTATAATTGACTATATATATATATTTACGGTGTACAGTATGATGTTTTGATATATGTATACATTAGGAAATGATCACATCAAGCCAATTAACATATCCATCACTTCACAGTCATAGTTCTTTTTTATTGTGATAAAACCATTTAAGATTTATTCTTAGCAAATTTCAAGTATACAGTATAGTAGTACTAACTATAATCACTGTGCTGTTTGTACATTAGATCTCCAGAACTTATCCATCCTGCATAACTGAAACTATGTGCTCTTTGACCAACATCCTCCCATCTGCCCACTCCCTCCAGCCCTGCAGCTACCATTCTACTCTGCTTGTTTGAGTTTGACTTTTTTAGATTCCACATACAAGTGTGATCATGCAGTATTTCTCTTTCGGTGCCTGGCTTGTTTCAGATAGCATAATGTCCTCCAGTTTCATCCATGTGGTTAAATGACAGGATTTCTTCCATTTTTAAGCTGATATATTCAGCCTTAAAATAGTCCTGTATATATAGATATACAATATCCCATTGTGTCTATCTATATACCGTATTTATAGGTAGATACAGAATACAATGGGATATTCCATTGTACATCTATCTGTATATACCACATTTCTTTTATCCATTCATCCATTGATGGATACTTAGGTTGAATCCGTATCTTGGCTATTGTGAATCATTTTGGTATTTCTGAAATTCGGTTTATTAAAGGAAAAAAATACTTTCACATTTAGTACAAAGTATTTAAAAAGGTAGGTACTAGGGAAAATAAACATTTCTTTCTTTGATATGTTCATATATAACAGATCCTGGACTCGAACACAAAAGCATTTTTCATTATCTGTACAGTAAGAATAAACCTCATTTTCGACTAATGAATTATTAGCCACTTTTTTCTCCTTAAATATCAATGAATATTCAACTAGCCCTTGAACATATATTTTTTATGTTATAGCCATCTATGAAAAGCTTAAGTTGATTTACACTAAAACAAAATTCTCCCAATTCACACAAAAGAAAACTTAAGGAGGCATTTCACAACACCTCCCAAAGTGTTTCAAATAGGTTTATCTTAATGATTTAGTTGAATGACTTATCCAACCCTACACTGGAAGTGTAAATGAAAAGTATGACGTGTAAAACTCTTATTTCAGTATTCATTCCACAAGTTCATCATTTCCCAACTAGTACTTGGAACAGTTTATAATGTTAAGTATTTTAAGTTTTAGTACCTCAAAATAAATTCATTTGTTGAGTGATTTAATGTTTAAAATCTCTTACAATATAATGTTCTAAGTTCCCTTGCTTGCTTGCTTGAAGTTACAGTAACTTCAGCTTCCTGCAGTGCAGGGTCCACAATGGAAAAGAGCGTTAACATGCTGCACCCATTCCAAATGCTTCAGAACGTCGTTAAGAGAACAGCTTGCTATTTTTTTTTTATTTGCTTGTTTTTTGAATTAACATGTTAAAAGGCCCCTCTCTGACAGTTTTTCTTGGTGCTTAGGACCTAAAATTTTCCTTTGAAATATATCAACAGATTTACTTGATAAGAATAATAGAAAGTGTATTGTATTGCTCAGTAAAGCAGGAGTACTTTATTTCAGTAACAACAAATATAGTCATAAAGACCTTAGTTTAGATACTTCAAAGAAATTGCTTAATGTTGAGTTCTCTGTTTACCCCTGCCAATACACCAAAGTAATCTTTTCCAGATAGATTTACCCATGCCAGTTACTAAATCTAAATACCAGAGAAAGTTGACACCAGTTATTTGTCAAGCTAGACAAAAGTTTATCATTCTTTTTCTTCCTGTTCCTTCACCTCCCTTCCCTCCCACCCAGTTTTGAAGACTTCTTTAACATCGGAAGCAATCATTCAGAGTTTATATCTCAAAATTAATACTTTGGAAACTGTGATAGTCTACCACTTTCTGTAACATCTTCATTTTTAGGCTAAAATTACAGAGTACTTCTTTCTGGCTCTAATTTTTATTCATACTAAGAATTTCTAGTAGTAAATTTTAAAAGGAGATTAATCATTCCATTTAATCACTTGTTTTATTATGATTTAACATATTGTCAAATGTTTCTATTCCCTTAATAAACCTCTTCTGTTTTGTTGACATAGACTTAATACAGTCTTTCAAAAGTTTATTTTCATACTTACAGCATCCCAAATGATTGGCTGGCTTTAAAATGTTGCCTTTCTTCCTAGTCCACACTACAATCCATTGAGTGTTCTAATTGCACATAACACTAAAGAAAAACCTTGTCTGCCACTTTTAAAAACAAACTGTGAATGTGAAAATGTCTTCTGATGTGACTGCTTTGTAAGTTCAGTAAAGCAGTTTTAATCCAGAAGACATGACCTAAATGTTTGCTAGACAAAAAAGTATGCAGCAGCAAATATCTTTATTTTGCCTCCATCTGATATGATATATAAAATTACAAATTGTTTGGGTTGACAAGGTTTTATCTTACTAATGACTGTAAAGGAATACTCTGTTTTAGACATGTTAAGCAAACACTGGTGTTTAGTAAAAGCTTGGAAAGTAGGATAATAAATAAATTGGAGGACATACTAATTTTGAAAAAACTGCAATCAAGTCATTTTCTTAAAGAACAAATAAGACTTAAGAAATTGAAAGAACGTGTTGAAAAGCAATATTAAAAGGAAATGTACTCAGATAAGAAACTGATGTAAAATAATTCATTTTAAATGATAGGTATTGTAACCTTAATTTAATAAAATCTGAAAAGTCACTAAATATTAAAATGTCCACTGGTTTGAATTGGAACTTAAATAAGACCAATACAGTTTTGGCCGAATTATTTATGATTGTAAAATATTAGAACTTATTCAAATCTTTGAATTTGTCAATTTTTTTTAAAGATTTTTTAAAAATCTAAGCCATACAGTAGATTTACATGTTCTTTGATGTTGACTTTAGTGTCAAAATAAATGTAATACCAATGTAAGCCACAGGGTGGGAGTGAAAGGCAAGAACTTGTGTTAAAGTAACTTAGGTACATAATTGCCCTATCCTCCAAATGCTTGTTAACTGCTAAGGATCTGTGTACCTGGTTTTCTTTCTTCCTCTAATACAGTTGCATTCCTCAGCTTAGAATCTGTAACAAAATACAAAGATCTTAATTTAAATATATAGGCCCATAATAGAAATCACACACACAGATTTTTGGTTTTTTTCCCCTTAAGTTTTTCTGGTCATATCAGATGTTTAGTGATCAGAGTAGCAATTTTGATCAATAGTTGAATTTGAGGAAATTATAAGTACTGGAAATAGTAATTAAATAAGTTACGAGAAATATTTCATATCTTCACCCTACTTTTCTACCTTAATTTTCTCTTTCTGGGACCTCTTTTCAAGCAAAAAACCTATTGTGCATTTTGCGGATGTGTGTGTAAGCTACCTAAACTTACTTTACAATGAGGAAGATAAATTGTGTGTTTTTTCTTAATCCACTCTTATTTGAGTTTAGAAGCAATTTAAAGTGGTAATCATTTTATATCTTTAAGGTAAGAAGACAAGAGGTTTTCTCTCCTAGAAAAGAAACTTCTCCAAGGAGTCTTGACATTCCTTTATTCCATGAAAGGTAGTTCTATATCGTTTTTTGCCAACTCTAAAAAGTATGATTATTGAAGTATATTTTTATTTACATACTTTTAAATTTTAGCAATTTTTAGAAAATTGCTTTTTGAACTAGAAGAGACCAACCTAAGGCCCCTCCATGTTAAAATGATCTAAATAAATCATACAGTTAATAGCAAATATGGATCTGAAAACTGAATTCTCTAAAGCTCTACTATTTCAGTAGACCAAGTATTATGGCTACATTGTTTTATATGGTGTATCTTAATGTGAACCTTATCGAAGTGAGGAATATTTGATTTTCTTCTATTTAAGATGTTTACAGAGAACAAAAGTCATACATTGAAATTTCTAACATGAGAATGAGACCAGCATAAGTGTGACATGTCTCAGTAGATATTCTAGTCTGTACTACATTTGTGTATTAGAACTTTTAATCTATTGCTTACTTTGTGCCTAGCCCTCCACATATTAGTTATTTTTTTAGGGCATATTCTAGGAATTTAAAGTAGTTTTTAACTTTAACCTTTCAGTAATTATTTTGTGGTACATTAAAAGGTGCTATGTAAGTTTAATTATGATGAAAACATTTGAAGACATAGCCTTACATTTTAAAATATTGATTTATCTTTAGGGGTTATATAGAGAAGACTTTCCGTGATCTGAAAGAAGAATTTCATAGAATATGCATGCTAGCAAAAGCTCAAAAAGACCACTTAAGTAAACTTAATGTACCAGCCACTGCAACTGGTAAGGTTTGATTTAATAAACAGTAGTATTAATTTGATTGTGAAAATATTTGTAAATGCTTACTAAGTGCTAAGAATCTGCACCTTGCACCTCATACCACTTATAATGGGTAAGTGCTGTAATATATTATCTAATTATTGGCTTTTCCCTCTCTCTTTCCTGTGTATGGTTCTATGTAGATTGAATTGAACTGCGTAATTACTGATCAACTTGATGAGAAGTCCCACCTTGGAAAAAGTACAAAATAATGGATGTGTCTCTCAGAGTTTTCTGTTGCTCTCTGGGAGTCACACAAAACATTAATTCATGTGTTAGTAAGCAGCCTTGAAGCTGCACTGAAATATATGGGCTGGTTTTTCACTTCTTGAAAGTTAATTGAATACTCTGGTTAGATTCTTGTAATTTGGTTCAAGAAATAAACATTTCACATTTTGCAAGGCAGTTCTGTTGGAGGTACAAAGTGCAAATTTAGTATAAAATACAACTTAGAAGGAACATCTGTTTTAATGTGCTGCAGTGTGGTTTTTTTAAAGCTCTACCCTTCCCTAAAACCTAAGACTGGCTTCCTGGTTATTTGCTTCAGTAGGTTTGATATGAATAGCAAAATACCAGGGATTGAATCTGGCTACCAAGCACTTCTGTAAACAGAAGGGAGATAAGCTGATCATTTATAATGATAAATTTGCCTTTACCCTTGTGATTTGAGATATTCTGTGTACAATTCCCAAGAGATGTGATTTACAGTTTTCACTCTGAAAGATGTTGCTGCAGTACTGACTAACACCCCTTTCATTAAAGATCACTTTCCATTTCTTACAGCTCTTCTATCTAGGCTATTTAAAAATCATTTTATAGTGTAAATTCATTTTTTGCTCACTGCTAACATTTTATTCTCAGAAAAGGTACACAGTGTGGTGTTGGAGAAACAAAACAATCCTTGTAGACAAAGTTTCTTCCCCTCCCTTTCCACTATCTCCCCAAAATGAATGGTAATTTTCCCATCTTAATTTTTGTCATTTTGATAAGAAATTGATCTTTTGTGCAGACTAAAGACACTAGGTACTTCTGAAATAAAAGAATTATTTTTATTTAATATATACTAGGTATGGAGATGTAGTACCTAGAATTCATAAACATGCATTTTGAACATCAACATCTTATCAAAACATTGTAATGGTGATATATTCACTGTTATACAGAGAACCTACCCCATTATCAATGGCTTAATACTTTGACCAGTTTTAAATTGCATAGGTCTAAATCTGAGTATGTATCTGTCAACTAGAACACTGAGTGTTTAACTTCAATTTCTTCCTAACATTACTCCTATGTTTTAAATGTCACAAATAATAAATACAGTATAATTCTTGAAATGTTTTAGGTCTGCTGTGCTATAGACTCAAATATTATGCTTCTGACTGTAGTAGATCAAATGGGGAAAAAGTGAAAAATATTTTGGAAAAAAGATGCATATTCAGGTTTTTTAAGGATGAACACTACATTTAATAAAAATATAAAGGAACTGTTTCAAATGTGAGTTGTATAATACACCTGGATAAAGTATATTTAACATTATTGACCCTATCTTAATTTTTGTTAAAATTTTATTTTTACTTTTTAATAAACATATAATTCATGAAAAAAGTACTGCGTTAGAACTGTACATTTCCTTTTCATTACTTTCTTTTTTCTTCTCATCCACTTATGGCAATAGCCTTGAGAAGGAATAAAGATAAAATGTATGTTTAAGCAAATGTGGCTTTAAAAAAAAATACTATTTGGTCCATAAAGGAGGATCCTTTTTCAGTGGTGATCAGTAGAGAAGAATGTTAGAAACAACCATCAGATCTTTTTCTTTTGTCAATATACAAGGTAACTAAACTGAGAAGTGCTCTAAATGTACAGCCTGTACTTAACATTTAGAAATCTAAAAATGTTTCTCATTTTATTTTTTTCCTTGCAAATATGTTCCTGAAATAAGCAAGGTAGATAAGCATGCTGTCCTGATCACGTTTCTCAGGACAGGGTCAGGATGACAAGTGCTTTCATGCACTTTGAGTTCTGTTCTCTGAGCTTGGCTTACTGGTAGCCTTAGAACTCTTAGGTTTGAATCTTTGAGGGGCTTTCTGTTTTGTTTCTTTAGATAGTAACTCTCATTGCTTGAGCAGATTAATTCAGCAGATTATGTTAGTGTAACGGAGGTAACCCAGCTAACTATATGGAAAATAAATACCTGCTTTATTACAGCTGTTTGAGTTTTCCATATTTTGTTCACAAGCGACATAGATCAACTACTAGAAGAGAAATTCAAAGAACGTTTCTGTCACTTTGGGGAACATCTCTATATGTAGAAACCAGCATGTTCGATTTGGCGTAACGATCCAGAGGACAGGCTCTTAAGTTAGGTTGCTTGGGCTCCAGTGCCACACCTACCACTCATTTGTTAGTGGTGTAGCTCTGGAGCTAACTTCTCCATTTCTCAGTTTCTTGACATGTAAAGTGGGGATAATACAGTATCTACCACCTGATTAGTGTTAGTATGAAATTAATTAATGCACAATGATTATAACTGTGCAGGGCATATATACATACTATTAATGTTAATAGTTGTCATTAGCAGCAGCAGCAGATTCTTCAGTGTTCTCTGTTCTTGTAAAGATCATTTTGATAAACATTTCCTCCTCCTCAGGTGTTACAGAATTTGATTACCTAAAAGTTCGTTTTCCTTATTTGCTATTTGCAGTTAGCAAATGTAATCTATAAAGTACTGTTTCCTAAATGTGTGCACAAGGGTTCATCTCACTGTTTATGCTAACGAAAAGCTGGAAGGGCAGTAAAGACCCATCCAGAGGGACTGGTGTGCCTTCCTTCTGGGCCTGAGCACTTGAGCACCAAGTTCAAGCCAGAATTTTTTTTTAACTTTTAATTTATTCTGCAGACATTAAAAAGGATTTACAGATTTGTATCAACACAGAACGATGCCTTTGATACTTCACTAAATAAAAAACACTTTTTTTTCAAGTACTGTTTCCTAGAATTTCCTGCTACTCTTAAGTCTACCAGGAAAAATGACTACTTGAGAGTTAATAGGCTTTAAGAATCTTGGAGGACAAAGAAAACAATTAAGTTTGGTCTCAATTATTATACCATTCCTAATCAAAGACAAATAATCTAGTGAACGTAGATTATTACACATGCTCTGTAGGGAAGAGAATTTAGATTCATTCATAATGAACTTCCAGAGGACAGGCTCTTAAGTTAGGTTGCTTGGGCTCCAGTGCCACACCTACCACTCATTTGTTAGTGGTGTAGCTCTGGAGCTAACTTCTCCATTTCTCAGTTTCTTGACATGTAAAGTGGGGATAATACAGTATCTACCACCTGATTAGTGTTAGTATGAAATTAATTAATGCACAATGATTATAACTGTGCAGGGCATATATACATACTATTAATGTTAATAGTTGTCATTAGCAGCAGCAGCAGATTCTTCAGTGTTCTCTGTTCTTGTAAAGATCATTTTGATAAACATTTCCTCCTCCTCAGGTGTTACAGAATTTGATTACCTAAAAGTTCGTTTTCCTTATTTGCTATTTGCAGTTAGCAAATGTAGTCTATAAAGTACTGTTTCCTAAATGTGTGCACAAGGGTTCATCTCACTGTTTATGCTAACGAAAAGCTGGAAGGGCAGTAAAGACCCATCCAGAGGGACTGGTCTGCCTTCCTTCTGGGCCTGAGCACTTGAGCACCAAGTTCAAGCCAGAATTTTTTTTTAACTTTTAATTTATTCTGCAGACATTAAAAAGGATTTACAGATTTGTATCAACACAGAACGATGCCTTTGATACTTCACTAAATAAAAAACACTTTTTTTTCAAGTACTGTTTCCTAGAATTTCCTGCTACTCTTAAGTCTACCAGGAAAAATGACTACTTGAGAGTTAATAGGCTTTAAGAATCTTGGAGGACAAAGAAAACAATTAAGTTTGGTCTCAATTATTATACCATTCCTAATCAAAGACAAATAATCTAGTGAACGTAGATTATTACACATGCTCTGTAGGGAAGAGAATTTAGATTCATTCATAATGAACTGAGAGCATACTATGTGCAGGCACTGGCAGGGTACTCGGGGTAAGTGAGAAAGAAAACATAATTTAGGATGTCAACAAACCTACTTTAATGGGAGAAAAAGAATTATACTTGAAAATATAATGTAGAGTGTTTAGTCCTCAGGCACCCAAGAGTCATGCCTAAGCCTGAGGGGAGCCAGAGAGAGCTATTCAGAGAAATCTCTATCTAAGCCAAGAAATGAAGGACAAATAAGAAACAATAGAGGGAGAGGACACTTGAATTGAGTCTGCACGGCATGTGCAAAGGCCCAAAAACAGGAGAGCAAGACTATTCTGGAAAACTGTACAACTACAAAGTTCATTATTGCTGGAGGAAGAAGTGAAATAAGTGTGGTGAAAGATGAGAGCACAGAGAGGTGACCAGGGGCCAAACATGAACAGTTTTTTGTGATTTTTCTGAGGCTGAGGGCTCTAGAGAGCTATGAAAGGGTTTAATTAGGAAGGTAACATGACCAGATTTGTAGTTTAGAAAAAGTAAGTGGGGACAGTAGGGAGCAGTGTAGAGAATGAATTGTTGGATTGGATATGAACTAAATTTAAAAGCAGTTTAAAGGCTGTGTTATAATCAAATTCTGATAAGATGGCGTGTACTCTAGAAAGGCAGTAGGTATGTAACAGGGTGAACCAAAGAAGCTGGTTGCATTGTATGTACTACAATCATGGCCAAACAGAAAATAGCTTGTGTTGGAATGTGCTGTGGCAGAAGATAGAAATGTGTCATGAGACTACAAAGACCAGAAGGGAAAGGAACTGGCCTCTGTTAAATGCCTACTAACCTGGGCAAACACTGTGCAAGGTGTTCGTTAAACACTCCATGCTTAAAATCAGCTTCATTGGTACAGTTTCACTGATAACTGCCTTTATTGAATGCTGATTTTCTTTTAAAATTTCTGCCATTTGTCCTATTTAATGAAAATACATTATCAACCTACAACCTCTCTGTCTTCTTGAAGTAACATAGTAAAGCATAATTTAGCGTTTTTTGATGTCTCAGGATCATTAACATAGGGAGTGCTTTGATCCTTGTTTTTTTCTCATAGAGAAATGTAGCCCTTGTTGCCCCTATACTGGGCTGTAGTGTTTTTTGAGTTTCTATATCTGCTCTTTTGTTTTTCTTGTCTCCTTCCTGCTTTCAGCTGTTGTTGATAAATCTATATCTGCCTTCAACAACTCAAATCCATACCTTTTAATTTGTTACTTGTAACCAGCTGTGAATTAGGAACATCATAAGCTTGTGAGAATAGATCTAACATGAGAATAAGAGTAAAATTCACGTATCTATAGACCTTGTGGCTCTAATTCTGACTCCTCGAAAGCTCTAACTTACATACTTCCCAGCTTATGCCTGTATCCTACAGAGCTGAATTTGTTGGATAAGTGGCTTCTAGAAAAATGAGCTACAGAGGCCCTGGTATCTACCTGATGTCTACCTGTTGTCAGCAGAGGCCTTCTATACATTTTTTCCCCCCTACACAGTTTTCTGAACACACACCCCAAAATGTCATTGTTCTTTGCCTCCACTGTCTTCTTTCTCCCCAGTGTACCCCACTATCACTCCTGGATTGTTGCAGGTAGACAGTGGCTAAATCAATTGGTGATATAATTGGTCATATGGTGGTATTGGGGGAATAATTCCTATAGAGTCTTAACCTATATAATGTCATATGTGCCTCTTAAGGGTTTTTTTTTTTTAACAACTTATTTGTCTAAGGAAGCTCACAGTTGCAGTTTCCATTACTGACAAAATGTTTAAATGTACACATAACAAGCAAATGTTTTTTTAAGTGTAAAGCAGTGTAACTGTGAACAAGATCCAGAGCTTACAGCAGAAGACCTAGGAAAGGACAAAGTGGTTAAACTGCGACTAATAAGTTATGTTGTAGTTCACCCACTGGAGACGGTTAATATTCCTGTGTAAGAGGGTAGTGAATATAAAAAAATCCCAGTTGTCTTCAGTTGCTATAAAAACCAATAGAAAAAATAATATCTGTCTAAAGCTAATTGAACACTCATATTTTTAAGAATGATTGGAATGCAACTGTTTTCCTCTTGTGCTCTCTTCCCTGCAGAAACGCAATGCTCTGTGCCTGTACAGTGTACGGATAAAACAGATAAACAAGAAGCGCTGTTTAAGCCTCAGACTGAAGATGATATAAATAGAGGTGCACCATGCATCACAGCTGTCACACCAAGAGGACTGGGCCGAGATGAGGAAGACAACAACTCTTTTGAATCACTTTCTAAATTCAATGTCAAGTTTCCACCTATGGACAGTGACTCAACTTTCTTACATAGCACTCCAGAAAGACCCAGCATCCTTGGTCCTGCCCCATCTGAGGCAACATGCCAGGATAAATTTAATATGGAGCTCAGAGACAACCCGGGAAACTTTGCTAAAACAGAAGAAACTTTGTTTGAAATTCAGGGAATTGACCCCATACTTCCAGCTGTACAAAGCCTTAAGATAACTGACAAAACAAAACCCTCCAATCTTGTAAACACTTGTATCCGGACAACTCTGGATAGAGCTCCATGTTTGCCTCCTGGAGACCATAATGCACTGTATGTAAATACATTCCCACTTCAGGACCCCTCTGATGCACCTTTTCCTTCACTCGATTCCCCAGGAAAAGCTATCCGAGGACCACAGCAGGTAACTGTTTTGCATTAACAAATGTGTTATGTGTGAACACACATCTTGCCATACGTGCCCAGATACATATCTCTTTCAGGTTACCAGACATCCTCTTTAAACTAATGACTAGCCAAAGTTAAGGCTTTTAATAAAAAACCCAGGTCCTATAAATAACAACATGAAATTCTAAAAGATGAATATGGTAAAGCTCTGTTATAAAGTACCTTAAAATTTATGGCACATTTAAAAATGCATGTAAGTCTTAGCCATATCTAGTGTGTGTCACTTAGTTCTTTCTTCAAAGCTTTTTTTCTCAGCAACAGTGTTATAATAGGATTCTTTGTTAAATTTCATACTGGGAAACAAATGGCTATTTTTGTTGTTAAAAAGTTTGTATATATCATACATATTTTTATAAGAATGCATGTTTTTTTATAAGTAAATAATTGCATTACATATTCCTGTTTATCAAAGTAAGTGAACTCTGTCGTCTAACACTTCTGTCACATTCTCAATAATACAGCACATATAGATCTGTATGGTTTGGTTTTGGTTTTGGTTTTGGTTTCTTATCTGGCACTGAATGTGAAGCCTAATATATTTTTTAAGTAGTCTCTACATATGTATGATTTTAATCAAAAATTTTTTTGTTTCTAAAGCTTGCAGACTACTTACAGCACCCAAATCCACTCCTACCCTCCCTTTTGTTTAGGTTCAATCACAGAATGATTCTTTCAGTTTAAAAAAAATTTTTAATGCCTGAAGGCAAATGAAAAATATATAATTGTTACAATAAACAGAAGCTCATGAAAATACAGATTGGTGTAAATGTCTATAACTTACAAATATTTGTTTGATTTCTCCTTGCCTCGAGATATTTAATTACTTTATAAAACCCAACAACTCAGTGAATACTACCTTTTAACTTTAAATCCCAACAACTCAATGAACACCCTTTGACTTCATAAATCTCTTACAGGTTATGGACTTTTAAATCAACATACAAAGGAGGCAGTAGTCAAGCTGTGGTATATTTTAGTAGTGGGGAAAATTAGGCATCCCCGACAATAAGCTTTAGTTAAAAACTCAGCTATGTTCTCCATTGCCCCTTATTTCACATCATACTCTGGCTATAGTTACTACTAAATGAAACATTAAACTATTTCATTTATTGCAAGTAGAATTCCTGTGGAGCTGTTAAGTACATCAGTTCTAATGCTTGTTACTTTTTTCTCCATTATATCTCCTGCTTGTTCTTTTACTAGTTAGTCCGCGCATTCATGTTTCAGTAGATGGCACCCTGTATTGTGCGTTTGCCTTCTATGCTACAGCAAGGGAAACAGCTGGTATGTGATTACAACTTGATGGAAAAGTATTCAGCTTAAAAAATGCAGGAGAATTGGTGTTGAGCTGTCACAAGACATGGGGCATAAGGTTAGATAATTGATATTTTGGCAGAAACGGCAAAGAAAATAGTTTGTTTTGAAGGCCATATTACAGTTTAGGATTGAAGAATATTTCTTAAAATGGGTTTTTAAAAACATTTTGCTATTTTATTTATATTACTAAAGCTAGTATAAATATAAAATTTTGAGTTGTTGATCATAACAAGAGAAGTGAAAAGTTTTGGTTACATATTTCAGATTTTTATTTTATATCAGTCATTACTACTTAACATCTTTTTTTATACATTCCTCAATCTTTAAATCTGAAATATATCTGCTTATTTTTGCTCTGTGTGATTTTCTTTTCATCCTACTTCTGCTGAGTCAGTAGTAACCAGGGTCCCAACTGAATTCTATGAAGAGATCAAATCTGAACTAATAACTCCTAATCGAGAAGGGTGGATACGGACTTTGAAGATAAATTGGCAGTAGGAGATTGGCTCAACAAATTTAGAAGCTACATCTAAATCTATTCCTTACTGTTTCTTAGATCTTAATAAGAATTATCTGTAACATAATAATCTTTTATTTATATCTCTATCAGTTTCCCCTTAGAATGGTTCATATTAATTGTACTTTTTGTTTAAACTGAAAATAGTAAAATTTAAATCTAGTTAACTCTAGATTTTTGCTTATATACTTGCAGTGAGTACTGCTTTTCTTTCATCATAGAAGAAAGATTCTCTAAAAATTATTTTACCCCAAATTTTAAAGTAAATATTTTAAATATTACTCTTTTTTGTGATAACATAGACAGTTCTCACAAAAGGAATTCAGTCAGTGTTATAAGCCCTCTCTACTATTTGAACGTATATCAGTGCCTAGACAGACTTTGTATATTTACACCAACTGTACACAGCTGTCCAGTAAAATGTTTATAAGAAGACAGTGATGTTGTGAAACCCAAATGCTTCAATTAGTAATATACTGTTTATGTAAATGATTGGTTAACTAGAATGAAAGAGATTGGTTAAGAGTATGAAAACTAACACTGTATCTGGCATTGGACTAGGCTGTTACTTTAAAAACATATTAGTGATTGTAGTGCAAAGGGGTCTCCTTAAATTGACTTTTTGAAGTGATCATCTTCAAAATACCAGAATTTGCTGTGTCAAGGTAATTTGACTGTCAAGGTAAGAGAGCAAGTTTTAAAAATAATTTGGCTTACATTTCAGGAAAAATAAGATATTCCAGTCAACAAACATTTATTGAGCATGTACTGTTGAACTAAAGCCTTTCTTGCCCTTCTAGATACTTTTTTTAAAAGAAAAAAATGCAGTTATCTGAGGTATTTAAGTGCTGCTTATAATGGAGAGTAGTTCTGTTGAATTTTCATGTTCTATTATTCTTTAATTGGGCAACTATTGACAGGTTTCACTTTATTCCCACAAAAAAGAGGAAAGTAGGCCAAAGGGTAACTTTATAACAGGAGCAAAATAAAAAGTCAAAGGAATGCATCCAAAGTTACTAGATTTTGTTGAATGATTAGTTTAAATATTTGTGGTTTCAAAAAACAACTGGTCAATGGCATTTGTCAGTACTTTAAAAGAAAAAAATTGCTTTTAAAAAAATCAAAACAATATTTATTCCTATATGATTTATTCACTGTGTTTGCTTATAAATAGTGAAATTTAAATTGCTCCTGATCAAAATGTGTGAACATACACATCATATCTAGTATACTATGTATTAATAAAGGCCTACAACTTAAGGTTTCTATCATAAAATAGAAAAGATACAGTTTAGTTTTTTTAACATCTCAGTTATTGACCATTGTTTCACAACTCTGTCCATTGTGATATTGGGAATAAAAATTTGCTAGTGTCAAAGCTGGAAGATTTTTCAACATGTGAAGACAAAGTACATGAATGTGTATATTCTAAATGATTACTAATCAAAGTTTAATTGTGCCTTTTATGAAAAAGAATTGATTCATGTCCTCATGTTAACTCTATAGAAAGGAAATGTGCTTTCATATTAGGGCATTTCATATTTATGTACATAACCTATTAAAAAATTTTGAATTTAAAACACAATGCAAGTTGATTTTAAATACAAATAACAGAAGATGTGGTTTATTTGTTTCTTCTGCAGCCTGTTTGGAAACCCTTTCCTAATCAAGACAGTGACTTATCATCGGTACTAAGTGGCACAGACTCCGAACTGCATATACCTCAAGTATGTGAATTCTGTCAAGCAGTTTTCCCACCATCCATTACATCCAGGGGGGATTTCCTCCGGCATCTTAATTCACACTTTAATGGAGAGACTTAAGATGCATTTGAAAACAGTAATGTGATCATCAAGTTCTATGTGATGATTTTGGATCTGTAATGCCATAAATACTTGATTGCAAACTTAGTTCGGGATCATTTATTGAAAAATAGTTAGGATTTTTTTCTAAACTATATTGTAACTTTCATTGTCTTTTACAAGGTTATTCTGTAATGCATTTTATTCATGTCGTACAGTGTTTACTATAATTTATGTTTGTTTCAAATGTCTAAGCTTATTGCTTGGATTTCTAGTTAGATCTGTTGAATTTGGTGATATCAAATGTTTATTGGGTTTATCACTTAAAAATTTAGATTATTTATGCTATAGGTATGATTCATTTTAAATAAGCCTACAGTGGAGAGTAGCAGACAACATAAATGTCTAACACCAAACCTAAGACATTTGTCACCCAGTGATAAAATCACTGACAGGATTACTTAAACACTTTAGATTGTTTTTTAAGTAATACCCATGGTTTTAATTTTTACTATGTAGATAGCTACAGGATGAAATGAGTTAAATATTGAGAGGTACTTATGTTGTGATCATTAATTTGTTCTTTGTTCCTGAGTAAAAAAAGAATAAAGGAAATAAATCACATTTTTGGGAAGTCTATAAAATTCATTTTTTTTTTCCCCCAGTAACCTGTTAGAAAGGTGATACCAGATCTGGTAACATTTAATTACAACTAGTAAGTCACTTTGAACTTTTAAAATTATTTTCCATACTAACCTTGCTAAAGAAGTATTTCTGTTTAATGAAAGCAAATATAAAACTCTGTAAGGACTATCCATATTCACTAATTTATATTAGAAATGTGTACATCCTTGTTGAGAAATTGGTTATTCATTATTAGCTGCCTGATTGATGGCCCTGGAAGACATTTAAGAAAGAGGACACTTAACTCAGAAGGGTGCAAAATGTTTAAATTGAGACTTTCCTTTTTATTTTTCTTCCCTAAGGTTCTTTTCTTTTAGGTTTCTCTTTCCTCCCAACTTTTAAAAATGTTTGAGGTGTGGCTTCCATTTTATAAAGTAAACATTGATTTGCAAGTCTCAAAACAAATTTAAGCCTTCTCAGGAGCATGTGTCTTTAAAAGCTGGAGGGTTTGAGATGGGGAAATTTGAGCAGGCCCCTGTGACTTAGTGAAGAGCCTTAACTTGTGGAAGAATGAGGGTGGTGCCTCTACCTCTCAGGGTGCCAAGCACATCATATTGACATCTTCCTCACCAAGGTGACACAGTGATTATTAGGTATTCACTGTGAAGGTTTCTGAGGCACGTACATCTTTCTTTCATTGCTACTGGGGCTGAATGGAAATGCCTAGACAATTATCTAAGTCTCTTCCCTTCCCCCTACCTTCCACCCATCCAGCCGCCCCTCTCACTCCTCCCACACACACAAAATTAAAAATAAAAACTTCCCAGCATGTACTAGCCAGAATATATCACTGTACCTATCTCATGAAAGGGGATTCATTTTCCTTTTCTAGAAAACGGAGGGTCCCTCACACAGTTGACATCTACTGGCCTGCTGACAAGCAAAGGAAATTAGAGCCCAGAAAGTGACTCAGATTCAAGTGTATCACTGACTCCTCCAGTCCACCGTTTCCCCACGTGGCTCCACCACTTTTAGTAAGAGCGGGAAACTCTTGTTTTCTTTTGGGTCCCAGTGCTGCCCTAAGCTCCAGCTTCCGAAGGCCAAAGGCCCTCTTGGGCCCCGACAGGCACCTGGAGAGCCGGCCCCAGTCCCGCCCTGCAGAGGTGGCGCTGGCTCCAGCTCGAAAGGTGGAGTGGGCACCGCCAGGGCTCTCCCGCTGTCGTTTATTACTGAGTCGTGCAGGGGCTGCATCTTGGCATCTGCCGAGCGTGGCCGGGTAAGAACAGCTCCCAGGTAAAAAAGCTGCATACGCGAAACGCTGAGTCTGAAAAAACCACCCCCGCCGAGGCGAGGCAGTTGTGAGCGGGATGCCTGAGAAGTGGGAGGTGAATGTCCTCGGGAGGGCCCCCCCGGTGCAGCTTTCCCCGGAGGCTGAGGCTGCTGCCAGCGGGGACATCTGCTTTCTTACACTCCAGCCTGGCTCACCCCGCCCCCTCAGCCCCGGCGTGCGTGGTTATTTTACCAACACGGAGGGGAGGGGAGCTCGAGGAGGTAGAAAAGGGGTGGATGGAAGCTCAGGAGATGATGTTCTTCCCACTCCCGCACGTCCCCTCCTTTTCTCTTCACATCTTTTAACCTTCAAGGTAAAGACTTTATAAATATGAAACGATAAGCGTGTCCGCTGGCTCCTGGACGCGCCTTCTGCTCGCGGGGCTCTCGGGTGTGCCGGCCTTGCCCTTCCCTCCGTCCTCCCCGGAGTCGGGCCGGGCCGGGCGCAGGCGCCGGCCTGGGGCGCTCAGCCCGTGGCGCCTCTTCTCCCGGGCTGCTGCCTCGACAGCTGCTTGTAGCTACAGTAATTAGACTGTCAGTGCTTGTTAGAGGAGAGAGGGGAGAACACGCTTCTGACAGCGCATTCCGAGACTCCCCACTTTGTTAATTTCTAAGAGATCTTTAAAGCATTAATTGAGGTCTCCCCAACTCTCCCCTCCCGTCCCTCTCCCCAACTCCTCCCTTCCCAAAAATATCTTAGACTTCTCTCCCAGTGGAAGCAGTGTTTCCCGCAAAACTGCAAGCCCGCCCCCGACTCACGCACATACCCCCTAGTTTACATATACATATATATGCACACGTGTGTACGGGTAAGGTTAACTCTGCGGAGGCCTCGTCCAAATAGGAAGCAGAATTGCATTTAAAATAATAAATAAATAAACAAATAAACTAGGAAGGAAAGCAGGGTGGGGGGGGAGGGAAGCAGAAGTCGGAAAGAAAAGAGAAAAGCAGCAGGCTGATTACGAGGTGTCAAAACTGCCAGGAGCAAGAAGGTGATAGCAATCAGGGGTGAGAAGAGTGCGGCATTCGTGCGGGGCAACTAATTATCCGTCTCATTTGAGAAGAGCAGCATTTGAGGCAGCAGCGTTCGCCTGCTGAACGGTGACAGATTGGCGCGGAGGAGAGGGGAGGTGTTAAAACAATGGAGCCGGGCGCGCGAGCGCTGCTGCATGCTAATCAGCCCTCCCTCCGCCTGCCCGCCGCGCTGCCTCCCTCCTCCCGCCGCCCTCCTCCGCGGCCCTCCTCCCGCCCGCGGCGCTGCCGCCGCCGCCGCCCGCTTCCTGCTCCCTCTCTTTCGCGCGCGTCCTTCCCGCCGCTGCCAAGGGGAATCCGGCCCCGGCCCTCGTGGGCCGGAGCCCCGGCCCGCGCCCCGCGGCGCCTCCTCCCGCCCGGCGGCCCGGCGCACTCTCCCGCGCGCCTCCCGGGGAGCGCGGCGAGGGCCCGCGTCCTCCGCCCCGCCTCTGGGAGGAGAGGCCGGGGGCCTGCCTGCTCACGCCCACCCGCTTCCTGCAGGGGGAAGGGGACGCGTCGGACGGCGAGCGGGACCCCGAGCAAAATCGGGGGGCGCGAGGGCCAGCCCGGGGTGAGAAGAGATCGGGCCCATCCAGGCAAAGGCGGCCCTGGACCGGCTGCAGCGCCCCCAGCCGGCCCTAGGGGGCCGCTGCCCCACGGCCGGGCCAGGGCCGCCCCCAGCGAGGTCTCGCAACTTGAGCCCCGCAGAGCCCAGCCCCCTTCTTCCCCACCAGGCCCACATCTATTCGTGCACGACTTAAATAAGCACAGCGGGAAGACAGATTAAAGGCCTTAGCTTCCGAGGCTGGACCTCGTGACCCCAGACTACACTGAGCGGCTCTGGACGCCCAGAGATGCACCATTAAACCCTCGGGGGTGAGACAAAGCCTTTCAGAAACCGGCCACCCCACCCTCTGCCGCCTGGACTGGAAGCCGCACTTCTGGCGGCCGGGCCACTGCTCTGGCCAGAGAGAAGTTGGTCAAAACAACACGACCCCGCCTGCCCCTCGACAGACAATCCACCAGAACCTGATGCTGCTGGAAAAGGTCTCCTATTCCTGTAGAGGCACGCCCCGGACCTGAGTTTTTGGTCGAGTTTCCTACTTTTTTGAGTTTAAAAGTTGGTTGTTGATCGTAAAGCTTAGAGTTTACTTTTATTCCTCCATTTTCACTATTAACAGATTGACATAAACTACCCTTAGAGATTAAAAAAATACATTGAAACACTGACGTTCTTACGGCATAAAGTAGGTTAAACGAAACACAGCTACAGAGAACTGGTAGGAATTGGACTGAATAAGAATGCAATTCCTTCTAACATGTTCAGCGCTATTTAGGCAACCAGGTGTCTAAATGAACATAATAAAACTGCCTTCCCCCAGCCATAGACAGAAAAGGAAAGCATCTGAAAAATAATCCTGCCAGCATATTTTTTTCCGCTGACCTTTACCACTGCATAACTTTACACACACTTGTTTGTTTTCAAAAAAAGCAAATTAAAATGTGAAGGTTTGATAAAGCTGTCATTTATACACAATAATTTCATTTATATGACCCTAAACTTCTCTGTAATGTTTCATATAATAAGAGAACAAGATAAAAAGTCAAATAAAAATGACGACTAAATTTTGTATTTTATATAATCACCATTGATCCTGTCATATGAAAAACTACACAAATGCGCAATGAATCGTTTTTCCTTTTAGAATATGCCCTAGCATACCAATACAACAGCTGAGTGCAAAATTGTTTGGATCTGCTAAAATAACGCAGAATGTTTAAAAGTTTTAAAATTGAGAATTCTTAAAAGAGTTAAAAAATTGTGCGTAAATAAATGTTAATGCTTTTGGCTTCTGCTCTTTGGAAAACCACTAAGCAGGCCTCTCTGCCCTTAGTAGAGAGTTTTCAGTGCTAGAGTATTATCTGGCATTTGGAAAATTCCCTGGCATATGAATCTGTTAAAATAGCAGCCTAAGAGGAAAAAAAACTTTACATTTATTAATGTAAACTTGGAAAGTCAGATGCTCCATCTCAGCATCCAAATTAAGGAATTTATTAACTGTTCATCAGCCTATGTTCATTAACAATTTTATAGAAGCAAAGTCTCTCTCTGAATTGGTGAACCTGTAGAGTTCAGATGAAATTCAGTTCAATTCCATGTTGTTATATATTTCTAATATCGAACCAAATTCTTCACTTTCCAACCACTTGGTTGTTTTGAGTTTAGTGTCATTTTGCCTTAGTCTATAGACTCCACAAATTTGCATGATTGTTTTAATGGTGTATTTACAGATAAGTTTTTATTTGCACATAAGGACAAAAAGGTGAAGTGAAATTTGGTCCCAATGGAAACCTGTTAGGTTCCCTGAACATATGGCTCACTGGGCTGTTACTTTCTTTTTGAGATCATTTTCCAAGATTTTTTAATATATACATCAATTTGACACCAGTTATAAAGAAAATATATTGGCTTTGAAGATGCCTCCACATGGGAACTATCTCTCCACAACAAACCATGTAGTCAGGTGTCCCTCTGAATGTACAGATTTCCACCCTCTGAGAGCAGGGCATAATTTGAAACCAGTCAGAACTGACAGTTGATTTACACTGTCTTTGAAATTAGGTAGTTTTCCAGATTCTTAGAATGTCACAGTAATTTG